GGTGGTAACTTGATGTCCAAAACGTAAGGCCGTATCAAGGAACTGCACGTGGAGTCCACTTCAGTCCAAGTTTAAGTTTGGGCCTATTTCCAGTCGTAGAGGATTCTTCTAACTCGTCAGGTGTTGGCAGCAACTGGCAACCGAGATCAACAGACTCTGGCGTCCGAACTCCACAGTAACTCTTGCAGGTTAGTGCCTCGACTAACTCCAGCTTGGGGACGTCGTCAAGGACACGAGCAATGTGGGTCCTGCAATTATATTTCCTTAACATATTAGCTTGATGTAATTTAGGCTTAGAGGAAGGGGGCGAGAACCGTCCAACAAAATCTATGGCTTCCCGAGAAGATGGTTCTGCAATGGGTAAGGGTTCAAATGGAACAGGACGGACTCTACCCTTGGCGGACATACGTGGGCACTGATCACAACTCCTACAAAAAGCTCTAATATCCGCTCCCATACCTGGCCAGTAAAACTGATCATCAACCTTCCTATAAGTTTTCCTACGAGAACAGTGACTTACAAGAGAGCTCTTGTGAGCTACAGAGAGAATGTTACTACGACAAACATCAGGGACAACAAGTAAAAACCGACCTACTTTAACTGGTCGCTTGGATGAAACACAAGACCTGTGTAACACCCCATTAATAGAAACAAACTTATAAACCGACCCATCTCTCACCTGATCCTCCTCCCCGGAAGTCACCTTCTCCCTTACCCGCTTCAGAGTGGCACACGAGTGTAGGGGTCTAGCACTCAGGATGGAAGGAAACTCTAATGTGGTTTTCTTGTATAATATATAAGTTATATGATAGACAGTCTGGTGCTGGAGATGCTGTGTGGTGAGGGGCTGCTTGGTAGAGACGTGCGGTGAGTAGCTTGTTGAAGGAGGTAGATGTGGAGGAGCTCCTTATCATGGGGGACTTTAACTATGGCGACATCGACTGGAGAAACGAGTCAACCCCGAATGACTTGAATAATCCTGCTACTCTTTTTGTAGAAACTCTGAGAGATAATTTTCTGTTCCAACATGTGAGAGACCCGACACATTACAGAGGGGAGCAAACACCCAAGCCACTTGACCTCATCATAACAAACGAGGAGGGTATGGTGGCCAAACTGGAACACCTTGCCCCAGTTGGCACCAGTCACCATACAGTGTTGTCATTCAGATTTAACTGTTACCTAGTTCAAGATAAGGCCAGGCCAAGGTGCAAATATTACAAGGGAAATTACAATGGGATGAGGGAAGAGATGAGGGGTATCAACTGGCCTGACTTATTAAGGTACAAGAACGCAGACACTACGCTGAATATCATAACTAGTAAAATGACCCATTTGATCGATAAATATATACCCAAGACCAAGCCCAGTGCTTCTAGGAATACGAGGGGATCCCTACACATGAACCATGCGGCGGTCGACAAAATTAAGAAGAAAACCCAGAAATTCAAGACGTGGGTTGGGTCAAACGATGAGCAAGACAGGAGGATGTATGCAAGAGCCAGAAACCAAGCAAAGATAGAGTGTAGGAGGGCTGAAAAGGAGTTCCAAAGGCTGGTTGCACGCGAGGTCAAGTCAAACCCAAAGGCGTTTTACCGCTATGCAAAGTCGAAATTGAAAACGCGAGTAGGAGTATCAGACCTGAGGCTTGAAGATGGTAGTTACGCAGATTCTGACCAGGATAAAGCTGAGGCATTGAACAGCTTCTTTTCCTCAGTGTTCACAAGAGAGGATGCAACTAACCTTCCTGCGTTTGAGGACAGACGGTTCGAGACAGCACTGACCCACATTGTGTTCACAGAAGAGGGTATTAGAAATAAACTGTCCAGGCTAAAGGTCCATAAGAGTCCTGGACCTGACATGGTGCATCCTAGAGTGCTAAGGGAGCTGTGCAACGAGCTTGCAGAGCCCCTGAAGATTCTGTTTTGTAAATGCCTGGATGAACAAATGGTCCCCAGTGAATGGAAAGTGGCTTATGTGAGTCCTATCTTCAAGAAGGGCGATAGGCACTCCACGAACAACTATAGACCGGTGAGCCTGACCAGCATAATATGTAAAGTACTTGAGAGTATTATCAGAGATGCAGCGATGGAACATCTACTACGAAACAACCTTGTAAAAGATTGCCAACACGGTTTTATGCCGGGGCGCTCTTGCTTGACACAATTGCTCAAGGTATTGGATATTTGGACCCATATTCTAGAACGGGGTGGTAATATCGACAATATTTACCTAGATTTTGCCAAGGCTTTCGACAGTGTACCCCACGAAAGGCTGAAAATCAAACTGGAAGGGTACGGAATTCGGGGAAATGTCCTAGCGTGGATAGAAGACTTTCTACATGACCGCAAGCAATGTGTGGTGATTAATGGCACGAAATCATCATCTGTACCTGTAACAAGTGGGGTACCGCAGGGTAGTGTATTGGGCCCGCTGTTGTTTGTTTGTTTCATAAATGATATGCCTGACGTTGTACACTCCTCCATACAAATGTTTGCCGATGACGCCAAGTTATTTCGGGAAATTAAGAACCAAGCGGACTGTGAAGAGCTGCAGAAGGACCTCTGTGGGCTCCAGGAATGGTCGAAGGAATGGCTGCTGAGATTCAATGTCACGAAGTGTAAGAGGATGCACCTGGGGCGTACCAACGGTAAGGAGGCGTACCATATGTCCCAACGGGATGAAGAAAATGTACTAGTTGAGACTGTGTGTGAGAAGGACCTAGGTGTGTATGTTGACAATGAGCTGAAGTTCTCGGGCCATTGTGAGAAGAAGGTAAATCAGGCAAATAAATTATTGGGTCTTATAAGAAGGTCGTTCAGATATCTAGACGGTCCGTCCCTCGTGACGATCTTCAGGAGTGAAGTGCTTCCCCATCTGGAGTACTGTCACCCCATCTGGTCCCCGAGATATGCTAGGGACTGTCAGTTGGTTGAAAATGTTCAAAGGAGGGCCGCCAAACTGGTGCCTGCACTTCGGCATCTCAGCTACCCTGAGAGATTGGAGCGCCTGAACTTGCCTAGCTTATACTACAGACGGGCAAGGGGGGGACCTAGTTGAGGTTTATAAGCATCTCAGGGGGCACTACTCAGTTGAGTGTCCTTACTTGGAGCTGGCGGACGCTCGCCCCACAAGGGGTCACAGCTCAAGATTGAAGAAGCCGCAAGTCCGGAAAACCGTGAGGGCAAACTTTTTCGGAGTGAGGGTTGTAAACTCTGGAACAATCTACCAGAGAGTGTTGTGACGGCACCGAGTGTGAGCTCTTTCAAGAGAAGACTTGACCAACACTGGAGCGGGTTCAGGTACATTCAGGAGCCGGTGCATGCCCAGTATTTGCCAACAGTGCGTGACAGAGACGTGACCGATCGCCCGGGCGGCTAGCGAGCCGACCTTTTGGTGAAGAATATAAAGGAAAAGAGACGTGACAGATCGCCCAAGCGGCTAACAAGCCGATCAGTGGCGAAGAGGATAAAAGTAAAAAAAAAAGTAAAAGTAACCACTTGTGCACTGGGTCCACACTCTGCTGAATAAAATTGTCTGGCATTAGCTGAATAAAATATTAAAAGTGGTTTCCAAATACAGGGTAGTGAGGAGGTTAAAAAGGAAAAAAGCATTGTAGATGAATGCAAATGCTCGGTTCTTAATTTCCCGAAATAACTTGGCGCCATCGGCAAACATTTGTATGGAGGAGTGTGTGTGGTATGAGGAACTCCAGAGACAACCATTTTGTGATATAGAATATTATTGATATGGATATGTATTTTTGTAAGCTTCGAGGAGGAAAACGTAATTATGTCTTGTGAATCCGCGCTAGAACGAATATGGGGGGGGGGAGAGACGCCATGGCGTTGTTTACATCCCGGGGCCCAGTAGCAGGTAGGTCCCACGTATTTCTTTGCTCTGTTAGAGTGTGTTTGATAGATTGAGCATAATAAATGTTATATGAAGAATGTGATGATCTCGTGGAGGTAGTTTGTAAGCCAGAATAAGGCTAATTCTAGCGTTGCTCTCCAGACATTCACCCTGGAGTGAGTCTACACCACGGGTTTATTATGTATTGTTTAATTCCTACTACTGTGTGGTACCCCTATGACAACAGTTGATGCTTGTTTTGTATGTATAATAACTAGTTATGTCTGATCTAGGTCCCAGCCTCTTCCTTCTCGGGTGATTTCTAGAGTAAATAATTGAGAGAAGACTACAAGTGTGTCCCATCCCTGAATTGGGAGTTCCCTGCTTTGTGCTTTAAGTCAGGCCAACAGGTTGAGACTCAAGCTGTTTTGGTCAGGACTTGAGGATGTTGACCAGAGTCCGCTAATATCCTTCAATATTTAGGTAAGTAGAAGGAACTCTTTTTTTTGTTCCATGTATTTTGATAATATATAACAAATTAACTTCCTAATGGCATGAAAGAAGTTATTGTAGGTCGTAGTTATGGCGGAAGACGTGAGGGGACAGCCCCGCCTACTGTAAATGATTCATCGCCTTTAACCAATAATTCGTATATCTATGATAATAATTATATACATTGGTCATGTAATTGGTGAAAGATTTATATTTGTACTGTAATATCCATGTAGATACTGTTTTAGTTAATGGATACAGATGGTTGCCACTTTATTTACGGTAAGAAATTAAAGTTAATCTTATATTTAACGGGTATAAAGGTATTCTTGGAAGAGATGACTAAAACCAGCAGGTGTTGTTCAATTTCTTTCATTTTTTCAATATGTTCTTACCATTATGATATATTTTAAAATCTAGGTGACATTTACTAGAACCTATTAAAACCTGATATATTTATATAGTTTTATTTATGACTTGTGTAAGTTTTATAATTTATTTAGTGAATTTTCGATCTTGCACTGGTATTTCTCTCACTGTTATTAATATGTTTTTCGTAATGTTTAGACAATCTAAAACATTTTTCTTTTGTGACATTTCCGCCGGAAATTAAGGATAACCGAGATATTAATTTTTCAATATTATTAGATTTGGTCATTCACGAGTGTTGTCATTTGTTGTTTACGTCTCACGGAGGTCTGACCGCCCGTCGCGCAGTGCTCCTTACCTCCGTGTTGGATTCTTAAGCATTTACAGCGCATGTGTGGGGGGTGGTGTGGGATTTTCTTATTGGCTATAGGAGACTTATAATTGGGCGAGAGTTTTACGTCAATTGCAGATTTTCGTCGGAAAAATAGTGTTAGGTTAGTTAAGGTTAGGTTTGGATTTGTTAGTTTGTTGGTTTTTTATTTATGTGATTTACCCAAAGAACTATTGATTTCCGGCTGAAATTAATATTAAATTTGTTCGAAACTCATCGAGTAACATTGAAAAAACATATTTTTAATATCTGAACAAAGACCGGTGCATTTGTGAAAATTTACCATTTATTTTACACAGTGTTACAGACACCTGCTCCAAGTGATACGCCATGACAGAAGTGTTCCGGTTCGGCCTCGTGCCCATCGCTTGTCGTGCCCGGAATGAGGACCGCAGCCGTGAGTACCGACCTATATGAAGTTAAATAGCACTTGCCTGGCAGGTAAATTGCCATCTAATTTTCAAACTGAGTTTTATCGGTATCACTTTTCTAGAAGAAGTTTTTGTAATATTTGATGATCTCCCACCAATCACATTTCAGGATGCAATCATTCTGCTAAGTTCTAAAATAGATATGTTAGGTCTCACCATTACCTATAATATGTCATGGAAGCCACACGTCCACAACATTGCTAAAACTGCCTTCCGAAAGCTGGGAATGCTGTACAGATGCCGTAGCTACTTTACTCCTGAGCAGTTGCTTCAGTTTATAAGAGATTCATTTGTCCTAACTTGGAGTACTGTGCTCATATCGAGGGTGGCTCTTCTTCTGTCCAACTGTTAGATAAGGTGGAATCAAAGGCATTTCATCTTATTGACTCTCCTCCTTTAATTGATAATCTTTCATCCCTTTCTCTTTGCTTCAATGTTGCTTCACTCTCTTTTTACAGGTACTTTAATGGCCAATGTTTGGTGGATTTGGCATCCCGTGTACTGCCGGCAAGGCCGTGGACTTGTAACGCTCGTATTGCCCGTGGTGCCCACAGTTTCTCTGTGGGCAATTCAATTTCTTTTTACTCTTATTTTTTTTGCCCCCTAGGCCCCATTGTGGTTCAATGACCTGTTGCTGGGTGGCCTATTCCCCGTAAAAAAATAAAAAATAAAAATAAAAAATAACTGCAACCACAGAATTCTGGAAGATTAGATTAGGTTATTCTTTGGTTACTGTAATCTGCAATTTTACCTAAGTTTTCAGCCAGACAGCTGTCATAATACAGCATAATCACTGGGGGGGGGGTTCAGTCCTCTTTTTTATACCTGAGCAGGACTGGTTTCCTCTTCTGGTCATAACATGTTCAAAGCTTCTGATCTCTCCCAGTTTGTACCAGAAAGTAGGTGGAGTTAATTTTATTTTATTTTTTTTTTCATTGTTAGGTTTAGATTTTATTTAGCTACTTAGCTTCTCTGTAGTTTTGTTTTGTTTCTCTAGTTTTGCAACCTCAGTGCATGTGTGTGTATTTCTTACAGAAGTGGCATTGAGTCTCAACAACAATGAAGTGAATATATATGGCAGAGCTGCATCAGAGTGGAAGCTTCAGGAAACACTCCAGGGTCATGATCTGCGTGTCACAGGCATTGACTGGGCTCCCAGCACCAATCGCATTGTTACATGTGGAGCAGTAAGTTTACTGTGTATTTATTTAACCTTTTCATGTGGTTAAGGCATAAATAATTTAAGACTTTAACTTTATCTTTTTTGGTTCAGTTAGTTTTGTATTGTAGCATATACATTTTTTCACTCGGCCCTTAACATACGCTGGTGTTAGGTTTGAGAGATACCCGTGAATGTTAAAAATCCGTGTACTTTTGCCCCCCCCCCTGAAAAACCCCTGGCCCCCCATGTCCTTATTTACCATATATACCTGTGTGTAGTTCGAGTTTTTAAGACCAAATTATTTGGCAAAAAATTGGAGGTCAACCTCTAAACGGGTAATAGTTTCGTTAGGTTGAAAAATATTTACCAGTAACTACCAGTAAACTATGGAAACGACGCACCACCGGCTGTGAGTGTCGGTACAGTTGCCAGGGCAGATCTCTTGCGTCATCATAGGAAGCCCAAAGTAGCCAAATGCATGGTATGGTATACACAGGACGATGTAAAACAAAGTATTCATTTTTTTAAAGTTTATTTATAGATACTGTACATCAATTTTTGTTCATTACATTTGAAACATCAATCTTTGTTAATTAAATTTGAAACAAGTATAGTAGTTTTGTTGAAACGTAATGTACAGTATTTAATATTAAAATGCAAAAAGAGCTATAAAATCAATTAATACTGTACACCCGTAATGTACTGGCTGGCATCTCCACTCGTCCCTGCTGCCGCCAGTCACCGCTCGTCCCCGCTCTATGCCTCCGCCTCCTCCACATCGTCACTACTGTTGTATTAAAATAATATTCTATCCTAATTCACTTGAATAAATACTACAATACCATATTTCTGAATATTTTCATTAAAATCCATCAAAATCATTTTCCTTGTCATCGTCTTAAGCACCAAACAGCTCTTCCCAGTCTTCTCCTTGAACAGGGCTAGAGGTACGTGTTTTTCAAATCGTTTTCAATTAAAAAAATGTTACAGCACATGTATATTTTACCTAAACTGCACCTGAATGAATATATTCTCAGAAAAAAATAGTAGTTTTGCTGAAACGTGGTGTATTTCAATGTAAAATAGGATAAAATACATGATGAAAACAAAAGACTTTACCTAACCTTCCGATGTTCAAGATATGTTACTCGTTTTTTTAATAGTTTTTGGTTTAAATACTGTTATATTACAATGATATTCTATTCATACTGTGCTTGATATACTACATTCACGGAAATGTAATATTTTTTGCTGAAATGACGTCCGTATTACAGTGGAAAGTGGGATAAAATCGTGACGAAAACAATGACTTTCGCTTTCTTTCGTTCAAAAGATGTTACCGTAATCGCTTTTCGAATGGTTTTCAGTAAAAAAACTGTTGCATCACAAGTGAATTAGGATTGAATATTATTGTATTACAACAGTTTTTTAACTGAAAACCATTCAAAAAGCGATTACGGTAACATCTTTTGAACGAAAGAAAGTGAAAGTCATTGCTTTCGTCACTTTCCACTGTAATACCTGCGTCATTTCGGCAAAATATTACATTTCCATATTCTCAGAAATAAATAGTAGTTTTGCTGAAACGTGGTGTATTTCAATGTAAATTAGGATAAACTACACGAAAACAAATGACTTTACCTAACCTTCCGATGTTCAAGATATGTTACTCGTTTTTTTAATAGTTTTCGATTAAAATATTCTTATATTAGTGATATTCTATTCATACTGTGCTTGATATAATACATTCACAGAAATGTAATATTTTTGCAACTACAATGCTGATGTCAACACAAGCGTGGTTACAGCGAGACTGACTGAGTGAGGGAGAGCTATGCGTGTGTGTGTGTGAGGTTGCAGGAGCGGGCGGTGTCCCGTGTTCGGTGCTGCGCGCGATTTGAATGTACTGTACTTCAATTACTTCAATGTACAGAATATTCCTCCGGCGGGGCAATCCGCGTATTTGCAAATCCGTGTATGTTAAACCAGCGTATGTTAAGGGCCGACTGTGTGTGTGTGTGTATATATATATATATATATATATATATATATATATATATATATATATATATATATATATATATATATATATATATATATATATATATATATATATATATATATATATATATTTATTTATTTGTTTAACAGTGCATGAGTTTTTAAATGCCACATTGACGTTCCAGGTTTTTAGTTGTAAAGGAATTTGAGAAAAATTTTTGTGAAATGGTAATACTAAGAGATTCTTATGGTCATGGGTGGGCTTGGGATTGGTTCTATAGAAAGATTTCTTAGTAATGTTAAGGCATTTGTCTATGAAAGATCTAGGGTACTGAAGGTTCAAGCCAATATTATAGATATATTTATATTCCTCATCAATAAATTCCGGGCTGCAAATTCTCAAAGCACATAAAAACAATGATGAAAATACTGACTGTTTGACTATTATGGTGGGCAGAATAATAATGAATGTATGAACACACATGAGTAGGTTTCCTATAAATACTGAACTTAAAGGTGTTACCTATTCTGTGGATCAGACAGTCTAGTAAAGGCAATTTACAGTCATGCTCTAATTCCACAGTGAATTTGAGCAAGGGGGCTAAGTTGTTAAGTTGTGGCAGTTGAAAAGAAACTATTAAGTAATATTTTACCACCTTCAGCAGTCTGGTTTAGATATGTTGATGATGTATTATGTCTCTGGCCATGTAATGAGGACCTAAAAGCATTCCTGCCACAACTTAACAACTTAGCCCCCTCGATCAAATTCACTGTGGAATTAGAGCCACATTTTATCAAAAGCTTTTGATACGTCTCTGAGAACAATATTGCACTGGTTTTTATTGCTGACGGCGTTAGCTATTGATTCTCAAATTAATGCAATAGCCGTGTTTGTGCCTCGGTTCTTTCGGAATCCGTGTTGTCTGGGGTTATATTTGTTTTCCTGTTCTAGATAGTTTCTGAGTCTGCTGTTGACTATTTTTTCTAGTATTTTCCCTGGTGTTTCTAATAAGGATATAGGTCTGGGGAAGTGTCCTGTTGCTAGTGAAGCGTTAAAGATCTGTGGGTATGTTTTGAAGGACTGTTTTGTTTGTCTGACTTAGTCCAGGTGCTTTATTTTTAAAAGTGGTTATTATGTTTCTTATGTCTTTGTGGTGATTGGCAAGGTTAATGTGTCTGCACTGATTAGTATGTTGAGGTCTATTGTTCTTGGTGGTTGCCATTTCTGTGTGTTTAGTGTAAGGTGTGTTGTTACCATCTGTTCTGTTACTCTACAATAGTTTCTGTTTCTTCTTCTGTCATTTTATATATGTTACTCCAGAAATTTCTGAAGATCAGTTCTTTTTCTACAGATTCTCTAGCTTTTACCCCGTTGTCGTCTATAAGATGGCTGTTATCTATGGAGTTAGTGCCCATTAGTTTTTTATTTTACTCCAGAAAAATTTTGGGTTGTGATTATCTGGTTCCATTTGTCGTTGTGTGATTGTTTACATATTTCTTTCAGCTCTTCCTTTAGGTTTCTGAAGAGAGTTATTGTTTCTTGGTTCCGGCCGTGAGTATTTGTATGTTCTAGTATATTATTCAGTCTTGTCTGGATTATCTTCTGTTCGTGTGTTAATTGTGCGTGGGGTAGTGTGCGGTAAGTTGTTTTGGGGGTGTTATTTTCCATGGCTGTGGTGACTTTAGAGTACCATGTTTCCAGGGCTATGTCAATGTCTGCTGTGTTTTTATGTCGATGTATTTGTTCGTTTGTGTTGAGTTCTGCCTTAAAACCCTCCCAGTTTGCTCTGTTGAAAGAGAATCTAGGGGTGGAGGGGATTTGTATTGGTGATGTTGATAGAGTGATAATTATGGGCAGGTGATCGCTAGTGATGGTTGGTCCAGGTTTCATGTGTTAATTCAAATGGTGGTCTCTATTGGTCAGAACCATATCCGGCTTCCCGGTGCTTCCTGCAGCTATGTAGGTTTCGAAATCTGGGCCCAGGTGTGTGATGTTGCCGTTTTCTAATAGGTCGTGTATAATCTTCCCCCTTGGGTTTCTGGTTCTGTGTCCGAGTATGGTGTGTGTCGCATTTAAGTTTCCTATAAAATACTGTATGCTGGTGTGTTACGTCTCATTAGTTTTAGTAAGTCGCCGGTCGGGAATGTTTGTCGTCGGCAAGGTAAATATGTTGTTCCGATTGTTATTGGGCCTTTAGTTGTGTTGATTTCGACTGCTAAGAAGTAGGTTTGGAAATTGTCTATGAGTGTATGTTCAGTTGATGTGTGTAATAGTTGAAGAGTTTTATTTTGTCACTGTTTTTCCGTCGGTGTGAGTTTATGAGAATTATGTCTGGGTCTATGCTGTTGTATATGTTTGTCAGTTCTATTTTTCTTGTATGTGTCCAGGCCAGGACGTTGTGTTGTATTATTTTCTGTGTTCTGTTTTGCGTAATCGTGGGTCGCATGAACTTGACGCGTGTTGTTCGGTTGCTCGGGTCTCTCCGGGGGAGAGTCTCTCTCTCTTCTCCTTCAGTCCTGTTCTTATTTTCTTGAATTTTGATAAGTCTACGTTCTCGATTTTGTTGTATTTGCTGCTTATTTTTCCTCCACGTATTAGTGTTTCTATGAGTCCCTCTTCATATGTGTATTTGGTTGTTCCTTCTTTAATATCTTTTAACAATCTCATTTGTTACAGGGAGTTGACCGAGTAAAACCTGATTCCTATGCTGTCTCCGACGTCGGCTGGCCGTTGACCGGTGGGGTTCTCTCTACGTGGTCTTGCTGGTGTTGACTTAGCTGATTGGTTGGTTGTGTTCTCTAGGGTCTTGTGGTTATTTGGGAGTGGGTTGTATCCATTGCAGTCTCTGCTCCTGTGCAATTTTCTTGTTGTGTTATTTTATCTTCCCTTTCTTTGCTGGTGATTCCTAGACTGTTTTTGGTTATTATTTTGAAAATGTCTGCTGATGGGGCATTGTGTGGGAAGTTTACCTGTGGTAGGTTGTTCGCTGCCAACATTTCTCTGATAGTTTTTCCGAATGTTCCCGTGTTAGCCACGTTGATTATGTGGGCATGTATCGGTGTGGCTAGTATGGTGAAGGGTAGACCCTCGTTAAAACGGACCCCTTTAATCCCGATATCGGACGAAATCTGAATTAAGCGAGGGACTGTCCGTGTCAAATTTCTGGTTCTGGGATTGTCCGATAGATGGCGCGTGCGTGCCATCTGTAGTGTCTTGCAACTTTGTTATTGCAGCATAGGTTTTGGTTGGGTCAGTTTCTATATGTTTGTTCGATTTTTCCTTTTCCTTCATGTCTTTGATGATATCCTTCCTTACTGGGCATCGTGCTGCCAAAGTGTGGTGATGTCCTTTGCAGTTCGGGCATTTTGAATTTTCAGTACGTGTGTCTTTAACTTCCATATTTTCATACGTGGTACAGTTTTGTATCAACTGTGGTCAGGTCTTCTTCATGAGAGTGCTCTTTGTACAGCACAGCTTAAGCATTCATTAGTTATTTTTGACAGATAACTAGTTATAAAGGATAGATCCTGAAATCCTGTTTGATAATAGAGCCTAAAAAGAATTAATGAGATCCCATCCTCCTCCTTTGATGTCATCATAAGAGGTCAGTGGATTATGTGGGGTTGATTCTTCTTCCCGCTCAGTGATAAAGTCTGACAAGTAAATAATTGGTAACTCATGTGCTGTGAAACCTTGAGAGTGATTTCCATACCTTCCAAGCCACCATGGACAACCTTGCTTTGTCAAACATCTGATCATGGGACATGGTTAGGGGGAAGTTGGCTGATGGTTAGTTTAGCCCTAATCACTCTAGTTTAGAGCTTCCAAGGGTTCCAAGCCCTCAAAGTTTGGTGGACACATTTACAACTTAATCTTTATGATGTTATTAAAAGACATTATGCAGCTTAGAGAGCTGCCATCAGGTAATCATGGCTATGCACACAACTGTGGGAAATGGACATGAAATGTTGGAGATGATTATGATGATATCAGCCTTTTCCTGCTATGGGTGGAGAGCAACTGAAACAAGTTGTCGTCACTCCTTCTATTTTATAGTTAAGATTTCAATTGTGTTTAATTACCTGTTTCTGAAAGAGACTTTCTTGTTGCAGGTGACCTTCCTGGAAATTACCGAGACTTAGTGTGCTTTGAAAAAATCCTCTGGAGAGTGGGTCCAGGACTTACACCTGCAAACTTCCTGTTTCTTGGGTTGAGGTGAGTGTTCTTCTTCACTGACAACATGTTTGTTTATTTCTGTGAATTAATATGTAGTAATATCGAGATAATATGGATGTTATAATAAAATTTTGGATAAAATTAGAGCAATACAGTCATGGGGCGGGGCATCTTTTCTCAGCTGAGAAAAAAATGAAGTACAGATGCTCCTCTACTTGCGAAAGAGTTACGTTCTTGAGGCTTGTTTGTAAGTCCAACTTTACTCCTGTAGATACCAAACTTATTGTAAAAACTGAAAAGATGATGGATATTTAGCCCAGCTATACCCTTTAATACAGCCTTAAAACCTGGCTCACTCTTCTCCTCTTAGGTAATGTTTGTTTTATCTGGAATTTTCTTCAAAATAATCCAGTCTCATCCACATTAAACACCTGTTCTGGCAGGTAACCCCCCTCATTGATGATATTTGTTTCTCTGAAAATTTGTAAGTTGAACGTTCTTAAGTAGAGGAGCACCTTTATAGTGGTGTTTCCTTATTATTTCACACTATTATACTTAGCAATATTATAAATCTCTGGCTAATAATAGGGACGGAAAGATAAATACTGATAGGCAAATGAGTTTATTATTATTATTTTATTTTGGGGTGGTTTATGAGGGGGGTGTAAGACGAGTGCTGTTTTTGGTGATCATTAACTTGTTTTACAGTATTAGTCCACAATAATAAGAAAATTTGGGAGAAAAAATTCGGTTATTGTTGGGGTTGAGGCAACTAGATATGTCTGATTACAGCAAATGTGTTATTGTCAATTTGTAGGTGAAAGATTTTATCCTCAATAGATGTAGGTTAACATTACACCTGGAGGCAAATGCCTAAAGAAGGAAGGATATTCCTTTTAGTTGTGTGAAAAAATATTAAAGAAAGTATATTATCATAAGTTTTCTTTTACAGAAAAGATGTATACTACTCCCACGAGGAAAGAACGGCTATCTTTGATTATATCGTCAAAACGAAGAGGTTCGGAGAGGTTAAAGGCACAGTGTTTGGCTGGATATGGCCGAGGCCCAGGTAATACTACACCTCTTACTGCAGTACCTGTTCCTGTTATAGCACATGAACCATCATGTTTATTAATACTCTACTTGTTTTATGCATGCATACATACAGTCAGCCCTTAACATACGCGGGGGTTAGGTAAGAGAGATACCCATGAATGTTAAAAATCCGTGTACTTTTGCCTCCCCCCCCCCCCTAAAAAACCCCTGGCCCCCCCATGTCCTTATTTACCATGTATACCTGTGTGTAGTTCGAGTTTTTAAGACCAAATTATTTGGCCAAAAATTAGGGGTTGACCTCTAAACGGCTAATAGTTTCGTTAGGTTGAAAAATATTTACCAGGAACTACCAGTAAACAATGGAAACGACGCACCACCGGCTTTGAGTGTCGGTACAGCTGCCAGGGCAGATCTCTTGCATCATAATAGCAAGCCCAAAGTAACCAAATGCATGGTATGGTATACACAGTATACTGCTAGATCTGGGGGTCACTAAATCTAAGGGGATAATTTAACTCTAATCTTAATGTCTAAGGGTCGCTGCCACCAGACCCCCTCTGGACAGCATGTAGCTCGTTAGGTAGCAGGCAGAGTGGACTAGGCATTGGGTTAGGTTTTTCATTGACCAGATCGATGAGGGTAAAGAAGGGGGAAACCATAACATGTCTTAATTGATTTATTCCTTCTAAAACATACTGGTAAAAACAACATACATGAATTGGCCTTCCTCAGAAGAACAACGGAATTTTGGTTACCCAGCTGGGCCCCAGACTCCTACATTACTGGCGGGTCATCCACCCACTTATTGCATAACAATCGGTGAACGCCGTATCTCGGTCGTTCCTTCTTACAATATCCCTTAACACATCAGACTGTTCCACGGGTGTGGATTTTAGCACCGTCAGTTATCATACATAGTAGCACCATCTCAACACACCTGTTACACTCCATACCTGCAAGTATGTGACTCCTTGTGACTTTTAGGTATACACAACGGGCACCTCGTTTGCACACCGCCCTCGGTGGGTAAAGACGAGGGCTTCACCTAGAGACATACCAGCACTATTTCTACGCCTGGTATTATAGGTCGCTCCAAGTGACGACCGCAGTTTCTCACGGTCTCCTTAGTTGTGACTATTCATGTGGAGTGGTGCGCTGGGAATCCACCGGTTCATAGTGGACTGGTATAGTGGGGAGTCATTCCCCACCTGGTGTGGCGCTCAAGGAGACAATGGCGGCCGGGCGGCAAGATACCCCGACCACGTGGCACCTGTGGTGACGGCAGAACGGGAAAGACTAAGCAATAATGCCTGGCGGGCGGTTATCCCACCCCTTAACACATCCCTATCACACTTATATATCCGGCAAAGCTTTAAACTGTAGTAACTGCTATTTATCAACCTTACTTGTAGGGCGGGATATAGCCCGCTAGGACACTGACCGGTGGTGACGGCAGAACGGGAAAGACTAAGGCCGGCTTCCCGCCGCTTCTCGTCACATAGGCCTACAGTTTCCAATCCTCAATTTACACTTTTGTTTCTTATGGTTCTCACCTGAACACTTCACGGTATCTTGTCACTCATTTCTTATAAACACATATATTAATCCTAAATTACACACTAAGGTCAGGTCTTGGTTTGCTAGTGCTTGGTTAAATGCCTGGGATTTTAATATCAACGGGCATCTGAGGCGGGTACATGACGCGCCTTGAAACAAAAGCCGAATGAACATGGCGGGGGTGTATCAACTTCACTTAAAACTGTAATGAGGGATCCTCCTCTCACACATTGCACTATTTGAACACAGACATAAGATTCTCTGATCACTGTACCTGTCGTGGGTATATGTCACGTGAGGCTACGAGGTGTATTAAATTCATACCGACGCATACACGATATTTCCTTTCCAGTATAGTTTCTAGATCACTGTCAACACCTCACATAGTTCTGATACATTTATCCTTTTTCCAGATCATTGTTCTCATGTATTTTCATATGATATCTGTTGGAGTTATGTTCGCTCCACGCTCACAGACGTAAATAGTAGGACCTTCAAACCCTGATCCACACTTAGTCTTACAGTACCCTAGTCCGGCTCAACTGGACTTTAACATTCATCTTATGCCTACCCTGAGTGATCCTTAATGCTATGAATACATACACGTGATATGATATAACTATACCTGGGTACAATACAACACAGGGTCTAGGAACCTTGAGTAGGTGAGTTGTCCTTTCTCAATGTTTCCCGTTTTCTGGGGTTCTACAAGCGCTGTGCATTTGAATGTTATGTAGCGTAATATGAATTAGATGGGATTTTTAGGGATGACAATGATGTGCGCAGTACAACAGGACGATGTAAAACAAAGTATTCATTTTTTAAAGTTTATTTATAGATACTGTACATAAATTTTTGTTCATTACATTTGAAACATCAATCTTTGTGAATTAAATTTGAAACAAAAGAAAACTACTATACCATATTCTCATTAAAATATTACATCACAAGTATATTTTACCTTAACTGTGACTGAATGAATATATTCTCAGAAATAAATATGAAAATGTAATATTTTGGCTGAAATGACGTACATATTACAGTGGAAAGTGGGATAAAATCATGACGAAAACAATGTCTTTCGCTTTCTTTCGTTGTTCGAAAGATTTTACCGTAATCGCATTTCGAATGGTTTTGAGTTAAAAAACTGTTGTACCGTACCGTATTACAATAATATTCTATCCTATCATTAGCCTCATAATCCCACAACTGAAAACCATTCGAAAAGTGATTACGGTAACATCTTTTGAACGAAAGAAAAGTCGTCATTTTAGTATCACTTTCACTGTAATATTCCATATTCTCAGAAATAAATAGTAGTTTTGTTGAAACGTAATGTACGGTATTTAATATTAAAATGCAAAAAGAGCTATAAAATCAATTAATACTGTACATCCGTAATGTACTGGCTGGCATCCCCACTCGTCCCTGCTGCTGCCAGTCACCGCACCTCCCCGCTCTATGCCTCCGCCTCCTCCACGTCGTCACTACTGTTGTATTACAATAATATTCTATCCTAATTCACTTAAATAAGTACTACGATACCATATTTCTGAATATTTTCATTAAAATCCATCAAAATCTATTTCATTGTCATCGTCTTAAGCACCAAAGAGCTCCTCCCAGTCTTCTCCTTGAACAGGGCTAGAGGGTACGTGTTTTTCGAATCGTTTTCAGTTAAAAAACTATTTCATGTATTATATCAAGCACAGTATGAATAGAATATCATTGTAATATAACAGAATTTCATCCGAAAACTATTAAAAAAACGAGTAACATCTTAAGAACATCGGAAGCTTAGGTAAAGTCTTTTGTTTTCGTCATGTATTTTTATCCTAATTTACATTGAAATACATCACGTTTCAGCAACACTATTTATTTCCAAGAATATATTCATTCGGGCGCAGTTTAAGTAAAATATACGTGTGATGTAATAGTTTTTTAACTGAAAACGATTCGAAAAACACGTACCCTCTAGCCCCGTTCAAGGAGAGGACTGGGAGAAGCTGTTTGGTGCTGCAGACGATGACAAGGAAAATGATTTTGATGGGTTTTAATGAAAATATTCAGAAATATGGTATCGTAGTATTTATTCAAGTCAATTAGGATAGAATATTATTGTAATACAACAGTTTTTTAACTGAAAACCATTCGAAAAGGGATTACGGTAACATCTTTTGAACGAAAGAAAGATTAAGTCATTGTTTTCGTCACGATTTTATCCAACTTTCCACTGTGATACGTACGCCATTTCAGCAAAAATATTACATTTCCGTGAATGCATTATATCAAGCACAGTATGAATAGAATACCGGTGTAACATAACATTATTTTGAGTCTTACTCTTTCCATTTACAGAGTACTGTACAAGCCCATGATAATGGCTCCTATAGGTGATAAACTTCGTTGTGTGAAGAGAAAGAATAACTCGTTGAAATTGAGTGACAAACTTGAAATAATTAAGAAACTAGAATGTGGTGTGAGCAATACTGTTCTAATGGAAACATACGACATTGGAAAACAAACAACTGCTGTACTGAATAACTATTAATTTATGGACATATTTTTATCATAAACTGTTGTGTATATTAACTGTTTTTGTTTGTTTGTTCCAGATGTGTTAACGACTAAACCCTTGAGAAATTAACAACTGGATCATGGAGACTCTGCTGCTACAAGTATGTCTTTATGTCTGTCTAACTGTCTATCTTTATCTATCTGTGCTTCTATATCTTTCTATCAGTCTTTCAATACCTGTATGTCTGTCTGTTTGGTATCTATATCATCTATCAGACTGTCTTTATATATACAAGCATCTGTCTTATCTATATCTATGCTATCAGTAAGAAAGATATTGACATTGAGTGAGGAAGGTGGATACACAAGAGGTACAGTGAATGATGGTGGGTACACAAGTGGTACAGTGAGTGAGGAAGGTGGGTACACAAGAGGTACAGTGAATGAGGATGGTGGGTACACAAGAGGTACAGTGAGTGAGGAAGGTGGGTACACAAGATGTACAGTGGAGTGGATGGCAGACTGCAGGATGTTGCTGACTGTAAGTGTTATGTATGTGCAGGTAAATATGTGTCCATGACAAGACTGAAGAAACTCAACACTGAAGATTATCCGTGGACTGTGTGGATGAGTTCTGCTGCCTGGGTGACATGATCAGTGCTGGAGGGGGTGCTGAAGGCTGCTGTGTTGTGAGTCATGGAATGGGTTCTGCTGCCTGGGTGACATGATCAGTGCTGGAGGGGGTGCTGAAGGCTGCTGTGTTGTGAGTCATGGAATGGGTTCTGCTGCCTGGGTGACATAATCAGTGCTGGATGGGGTGCTGAAGGTTGCTGTGTTATGAGTCATGGATGAGTTCTGCTGCCTGGGTGACATGATCAGTGCTGGAGGGGGTGCTAAGGTTGCTGTGTTATGAGTCATG